GATGTCGATCATACAATAAAGCTATAGGCCGTTTAGTCATCAGTCGATCTAACGTCTGGTTGCAAACATATTTCTGAAACATCGGAAACTGCGCACTTCTGCCTTTGCCATTAAACAATAACATCTCTTTTGTGAACAAATGACTATCCATTACTGGATGACAAAGACGAGGACTGAAAATATGGATTGTTCAGTAAATAGGACCGCTGCCAGATTATCATTGTGGAGATATGGGAAGGACAGTTTTTAATGGACAGTAATAAATGCAGATAACGGTTTAAAGGGATTAGGAAATAGACTTTCTAATATTCGCATCATTACTATGCGGAATGACTCAGGAGTTGTTCATCGAAGATGCGTGACGAACGCCTTTTCTGTTCATGGGTTCATATCATGGGTCGTTGGTAGTCTTTTGTTCAGAAGGTGGATAAGCGTTTTCCTGATTTTTTGCTGACGAGGATGAACGATGATGATCAGAGATCATTTTTCTCTAGTCTGATGATATGAATTTCCCTTTCGTAGAGAGATTTGTGGGTTGCATGATAGGTCTATCGAACAGTGATGACGTTAATATCTACATAATTACTCAATTGTTTACTTACTGCCTTCACTATCTCATGTGCTCTCATATGCTTACTTGCACACATACCTGCTTACTCATTTATCTTTGTATCTTTATTCAGTTTTCATGATATCAGATTACAACAGCCATATTAAAAACTTTAGCCATCGACACGCTTTCAACGCTGAGCGCTATGTCATCATCAGAGTAACAGCGTTATCACTGTTGATGAATAAGGCATTTTAGATTTCACTTATAACCCGATGCTTTGAACCATGAATCAATAAGTAAAAAGGTACAACAAAATTTTCAATTCATGCCGTCATCGATGTGAAGGTTTTCTCATTGGTTGTTTACTGTCATTTCGAACTTAATCCTTATGTAAGCAATATCTCCTTCGTCCAACGATGGTGAATTCTTCTTTTCACCTGCCTGGCCCACTGCCATATGAACTTCATCGCTCTTCCAATGCCTCCGCAGACTCCTGTTTGTGCACTTATGCATTCATCCATGTTTGTGCTCTCATCCATCCATTCGGTTCCCAACTTCTTCCTGTCAATGCTGAGTTGCGAAATCTGCATTTTGTGAACAGTCTTCGTGCTCAGGGTTTTCATGATGAACGGTTTTCGTATTTCGCAATAATAACTTTACACTTTGAGCACTTACTGGTCGAAGGCGTTCCGTTTCAAATAAAAAAGCAGTTTCCCAAATAGGAGCATTTTCAGCTTTTCAGAAGCACTTCATGTACCATTCGTTCTGTCTTTATTTCGCAGAGATGGTTTTTCGATGTGGAAATCAGCTGTCCCAGAATGTGGTAGATTTGTACTGCTACTAAGACCAATTCCGCTGACTTTAACCAGTCGATTAAAAGGTCTCATACTTGTAAAACATAATCTGATTCTGTTTTCGCTTAATTCTCAGTCCTGTTTTACTGCTGGCGTCATTCAGCTCTTGAATTCTGCCCTGGATTAAACGGTAAACCGTGGGAGGAAAATAATGACTGATATTGAATGATTTTTCGTAATTAACGGGATCGCCATTGCTTTGTTTCGATTGTCACGCTTGGCTGTCTCATGTGATTTGCCACCACAAGTGTACGCATTTCTCGTTAAGCTAGTCGTCCCGTCTGAGCCGAGGTCTTCAAACTGGGCGCTTCCAGATATTGAGTATGAAACCATCGCTACGAAAGCCTATCCATCATCTGTAAGTCAGGTGATATAGTCACCATAGTCTGACTCAAGATGCACGCACGGGATTGGTACCGCTTTTGTTCTTTCCAAGTCTTTCGATCATTGGAAATGGTTTTGACTATTGTCCATATTCGACAGGCGTCTTACTTAGACAAGGTGTCCGTTTGCCCTTCATTCCGGCCGAATGGGCTCTAAGGTGACGGCACTGTGAGGCTTCACCAGTTTACCGTTTCCATTGGGTAGCTTACTGCCAGAGGACATGTTTTCGCAGCGGGGGACATGAAGGGTCTTACAACAAAAAACTCGTTACCATTAGTGACTGGTGGCTGGTTCAATAAGAAGATCAGTTGAAGGTGGATATGGATCGCGCCCAACGTGGCCACGAAGAACGAGATCGGCTTTGTTTTGTTCGATAGAAGTTGCATCTTCTAGGAAAACGACAGTACGGTCATTTAACACCGGCAGTAGTCACAGACTGGTGCAGAGAGGCTATCCTTCGGGTAGAATATGAAAAGAAGGCAGAGCAGATGGAAAATCGCAGACAATGATCGAAGGTATTTGAAGAGGCGGCTCTCCAGGAGTACATTCTCAGCGAAGAGTTGATCCTGAAAGGCAGATGCAATGGCTACTACTAGAATTTTGCCGAGAAAGTTAGATACTGTAATAGAAGTCAGCCAAAGTGGTAACATCAGAGAGAAAACAAGGAGCTCAGGAGAGGCAAAGTGTTTGTGAAAGAAACAGGGGAAAATGAACAGAGATAGAACCAATACTACCAATACCAATTGAGTACTCTGATCTCTGCAAGTTCATTCGATGGAAGCTTAGTGAGGACTTCCAGAACTTCCACTGCGATAATTAGACAAAATAGAAGAAGTGACAGAAGCCTCAGACAATGTCGAAGAGAGTTACCGCTTTCTCAGTCGACCGTCATGAAGTTGAAGAACGGGCATGGTCTCTAACAGAGGTGAAACGCAGTCTGTCTGTAAAAACTTTTCTATCCAACTTTTTGCGTCAGAGATGCACGTGCCCCCTCTTCTGTCACTCCAACAGCAAGATGGAAGTGCACTCCCGGTCCTCGTAAGCGAGGTTCGGCATGCAGCGCTGCAAATGAAGAAAGGAAGAGACGGTCTGACAATAGAGTGATCGGAACAGGTGGTCAACACTGTTGAGGGCTGAAGTGGAACGGTTCACTTACTACCCGTAAGCGGAAAAGATACGGTCAAGAGGGAAGGAATCAAAACCAATCATTCTCTTCAGTAATGGCGAGAAGTAAGATCTGAAGAACTATGGCCGATTGTACCTGCTGACGCGAGTCTACTAGCTATTCGCGAAGACTATCACCAGCAAGCTGTGTGCAAGTATGGCTGAACAACAGCCAAGCCAAGAGAACAGACAGAATTCCAAAGAAGCGACAGCACAACGAATGGTATAACTCCTGCAACACACCAAGGAATTCCAGCTTCCTCTGTGCATAGCCTTCCTCGGCTACGGGAAGGAGTTCCACTCTGCCAAGTACAACGCAGTGTGGAATGCGCTAGCAGAACATGCGATTGACACCCGTTCGTCCATCTGATAAGGGCGGCCAACTATGACTGCTTTACAAGCATCATGTTATTCGATACCCACTTTGGAATCCCCCTAGAGAAGAGCATGAAACAAGGGGACACAAACTACCTCAATCTCCTCACTGCCTGTTGGGAAATGGTGTTTTGAGAATGACCTGGAAGGATTGAATTAAAATCAGTAGTGAACTGCTCAGCTAGCTATCCTAAGGTACGCTGATGACGTGGTGTTGTTTACGGAAAACGCCAGCTAACTACAACACATGCTGCAAGAATTTGAGAGAAAAAGTGCAGAGATCGCACTGAGAATCAGTTGGCTTCCTGCCGAAGGCCCGGGTAATATTAAACGGCGAAAAGATCTAAGAAGTCGATGAATACATTTACCTGGGTCAAGGGGTCATTACGCGGCATGATCAAGATAAACAGATTCAATGAAGAGAAATAGGCGGTTAGCACGCATTCCATTTCGTCAAGGAGATCGTCCTCGGCATCATGAGTGAAGAAATCCGGGACCACTTCTTCAGTTTTACCGTTCTATCAGCAACGATGTATGGATGTGACATATGGTCACTCACTAATGCCTAATAGGGTCAGTTATGTGTGGCCATGAGAGACGTGAGAAGAAGGCTATTGGGAATTTCACATGACGATCACATCCCCCCGAACGGTGATCAAACAACGAACAGCGGAGTGAGAGATGTTGTCACCGAAAGTAGAAGGGAGATATAGAATATATATGTAGCCATATATGCCAGAAGTTCACACGAATAAAATAATAAATTTGTAGGTTAAATCCTCGTCGATTGAGGTCTGTAATATCCATGCGTTTTGCTTACGTCGACTAGCGGCTAATCTTAATCAACTGATTCGGTTTCACTTGTCATTGAGTGTTTTTATTGGCTGTGATTGCTGATCGTTGCAGCGTCCTCTGGTGGCTGCACAGGAGGCAGCAACGCGGCCACAGCGGTCTCCTGATAGATTGATCATTGCCATCGCCTCAGCCGTAGCTCAACGGCAAGACAGATGGACGGAGAGTGAGAAACTTCGCCTGTCGACTTGTTCAGATACTGCTACCTGTGGCAGCAGTTATATTTCACGTGTTAATATAGTTGGGCAAAGCAGTTGCGGAACGACACCCCTCTCAAATCGAACGCGTGACTGAAAACGTCTGTTTATGAATTAAGCCAACTGACCGGCCGTCACCTGCTCGTTCATCTCTCACCCTCCATACTCGCATGCCAAGCCTCCTTGTTGCTTCCTTGCGTTGGTCACGTGCCATGCAAAGACGGTGACAGCGAGACGACTTCTGATCAGGGCATGGGTGACAAAGCTGCGAGTGTGGCAGCAGTATGTCTCTGAGACATTTCATTTTCGCCTATCGCACCAAGTTGGTGATCTACGCCGTGTTGCTGTGTCTGCTGTTCATCGTGGACATCCGCAGCGGAATCAACAGCTGTGTGCAAGGCGACTGTCCATTGCTGACCACTGGCCTGTATGGATCGCTGTTTGCGCCGCTTCGACGTTACCCCCCACGATGCCT